CAAATTTTCCAGTTCACCGTTTCTTTCTACCCTTACCAAGAAAAAAGAGAGGGACAAAGATGCAGATTTAACTCTTTTGTTCTAATGCATCTGAAAGTTTCTTCCAAGTTTATCGAATAAATGTAGAGAAAATCACTGTCTGATTTTGTGCAGAACTTGTAACTCGCTGGATCTCTAAACCAAAAGCTTCTTCAAGAAGGATTTCAGAGCTTTATCTCTCCTTGCACATCATACTTCCTTTTATCAGCTATTTCAAACTAAAAAAAAAATTATAAGGTAGCTTACAGGAAGAGTAGGATGGAATCACTGTGGATGTACGGCCTTGCTAGTCCAAAGTGAAAGGCATTTGTTCCATATCACACAAAGAAAGTTGCCTCCCTTTCCAGCCACCCTTAAGTTACCCTTATGTATTTTCCATCTCCCTGGCCACGGAAAAGCCAGTGAAGCCAGCTGGGTACAACCTCCATCCACATTCCCAGAAACAGGAAACCTGCCACTGATCTCACTGAGAATACCTCTGAGCAGCTGATGGTCCCCTACTGGGAACCCTGACAGCTCTGTGGCTGAAGACCAAAGTTTCCTCTGCAGTGTCCTCTTTACTGGGGCAGCTGGTAGAGAGGGGGAAATTCATTATCATGCTAATGATGTCCTATTTAAAATTCTAGCCCTGATTATTCTGTGATTAAATCTCTCTCCTTGATGTTGGCTGTCTTTATATCTGAGTTACAGTGCAAAATCAACAAAATTAATAAAACACGATACAAATTACCAACTTATACACAGGAGATGGAAAACAGTTGTTTAAATCTGGAGGTTGTCTCTTTTCTGGAAAGCGGATTAGCAAACTAAAAATGTTACTGATCTTTTTACCCCTCTTTCTCTTCAAAAGTTGAAATCCACACCCATGAAGAGTTCATAGTTAATTTCCATTGGTATTCAGGCAGTGGAAGATACATTCTGCTTTTTATTCTGACTTCACTATTCTGAAAACTCCTTCCACCTACAATCCCAGAACTGTAGGAGTCTGAGACAGAGGATTACAAATTCAAGCCCAGCCTGGGTAATTTAGTGATTTAGTAATTTTTTTTTTCTCAAAAAAAGAAAAACTAAATAAAATAAAAACAAATTAGTTATCTTGCAGGCAGTTAGACAGGGCCACCCTCAAGGAGCCAGCACAGAAAGGAGCGAACATGGAGGACAATCCAGACACATTCACTGTGGCCAGAACTGTAAAAGAAGAGAAACTACTATACCCTTGTGCTTCCCCTGCAGATAAAGAGCAGTGATTAATATTCTAAATAGGTTTCAATCACCTGGGGGCGGGGGCTAAGGTCTTAGCCCAGCCTTTCCAAAAAATATCCCTGACCCTGCCTTACTGAAAATCCTTGCATGCTTGCTACGTGACTTGTTCCCCATTTGACCCCCACTTACTCAATATTACCTGGGTGTCTGTACTTGTGATCTCATTGACTGGTCACGGTTTTGCCCACCTCATGCTCACCTTGTAATTTTCCATTGGGTCTTATAGTTTTGTCCTATTTTGTACCTGCCTCCCCACATGGCTTTGCTGCATAAAACATCTTTGACAAGTGGGGTGAGTAGGCAACCCACTTTCCAGTCCCCTTTCCGTCTCTCTTAGAGAAAAGCTTTCTTTCTCTCAATAAACTTTTCCTACTTTAAAAAGGGGTGCGGCTAGGAATCCTGCTCCATGTGAAGGCCCTGGGTTCAATTTCCAGTACTTAGGAGAGGGGAGCAACTGCTCAGGATTCGAATGTGTTTTCCCAAAATCATCAGCTCTGCTGGTGGGAGTTACGGCGCACTTCATTCTCACCCATCCACAGGGACCGCGTCACAGGAAGAACGGTCTATAGATTCAAGCACGCTACCTACCTTTACTCTTAAAACTGCATGTTTCAGTTCCTTCCTATGACATTGTTCTGTCGGCTGACACTCCAATCCGAGTAACCAACTCACACCACTCACTCATCTTCCAGAAAAGACAGTCAAACTTATCACCACTGTCAGTAAACTGGCCACGAATATAGAAGCAGAAAACCCAAGGTCTGGACCAGCAATCCAGATAAGGAAGAAAGGGCTCATGTTTCCTGTTAACAAATATCTGGCCCCAGGAAGTGAACATTTACTATTTTAGAACACACCATGCTAAACCCTGAAGTGATCCAATGACTCATAATCACAGTGCTCTGTCCCCAGAGGACCCACAGTCCAGCAAGGAACATAAGACACAGTGAGATTGCTAGTGACGAGCAGGGCAGGTTCATGTAGCTCTCTATAAGAGAAACAACATTAATTGGTCCTCAATTCTACAAAAATCTCTTTTCCTATAGTCAAGACTAAACTCAGCAGGACACATGACTGCCCAGGGTAAGGTTGGATCCCGGCCACCCTCACAATATACCATATTATGCCACCATACACCAAGATTAAGACCACAGGCATGTGTGGCAATAGTAGAAGTGGGCATAAATTCCTCAAGGGGATAGCTATGCTTACTCCTTACAGCAGGACCTGGGCGTACACGTGGCTAGGTCAGACATCTCGGACTGAACATCACTACCAAGAGGCCAGAAGAACAAAGTAGGAGTCTGGGTCCCTGACCTGTGGAGTTGCTTGTCCATTCCTGCACTGCCTTTCCCCACAAATGATGCATTCTACATTTGTTGGAAATCAAAACATTTTAAGAATCCTAGTTATTGCTCATTTCTTGGTATCATTTTAAAATGCTTTATGTACGATCATGGAGTCACAGCACACACATGCACCAGCACAATACACATGCACCAGCACGATGCGCATGCAGACTTCTCCTGTGTACTTGAGCTACTTCTAAATTTAAACACAGAGCTCCTTTTGAATAGTTAACTCTCAAAACCCAAAAGTAGCTGCATATGGACTCTGGCCTAGTTTTGCTATACTTCCACAGATAAAAGCTTCAACTTGTGTAGGCCTTCATTTTTATTTATTTATCTGATTCCTATACTCTCACCAGTCCTGGATTATTAATTTGGGTTACCCACAGTCAAGTCTCTTTGGACTGCTTAAAAATTAGCTTCAGCCTGAAACATGTGTAAATCCACATGAGGGACGAGGGCAGCTGATCCAGCAAAATCCACCAGGAAACACACAGGAACCATCTGCAGCAGAGAACCATCCGTGGTAACAATCTCTCATTCCATGTGTTTATGTTTTATTCATCATTTTGAAAATACTTAGAGAAGTGACAATGATGAGATTCAAAGAATACTGCGCAGTCCTTTTTTTTTTTTTAAGAGAGATTAATGGCTTTCAGCAACTCATCTATTCAAATGAAAATATTACCGGACTATGCTCAAATCTGTTCACATCCTCTCTATTCTTAGAAATAATCTATTCCCCATCTTGTGTCAAAATCTAATTGTGACACCACAAAAAAAATTTATAGTTTTTATTGTTCATGTATATTTAAACAATCCACTTAAAATACACAGTGCTCATTCCTATCACGGCCCATGTCTTCGGTGACTATGTTATTATTTCTCAGTACATTATTTAGGCTCAAATGTGCAGTCTCTACCATGTTTGGCAAAAAACAAGGCTTGACCTTTAAAAGTGAAAAGAAAAACAGATAAGCTCTGGATTGTTGATCCAGCTCGGTGCCCACCCCTGCGGCTCACAATAGCTACAGAACACTCTCTTTGGTTCAAACTCTGTGAAGACAGTCTTTTGGGTTTTTTTGTTTTTCCCCTCATTGAGTTTATTGGTACATTTTAGGTATACAGTACAGTTACATTCATTATTGGGATCTTGTACCTTTACATGACAGGTCTTGGTTCTCATTTTTTTCTCCTTTGAAGACAGTTCTTTACACAACTCGGTGGGGGGGGGGCTTTTAAAACAAATTTTACTCATCCTAAAATGACATACCAAATTTTCACTAGCTGAATGTATGTTTATTTGGTTTTTAAAGACTAATCTTCTGTACATCAATTTGTGGAGTACTTTCAAACATCCCATTGCAAGTCTGGCTCCTAATGTTCTACTTAAACTTTGTTAATATGACCATTTATTCATACATATATTCTTTTCATTCTCCTAATATAAAATATTTATTTAGCAACCATCTTATGCTATGACCTCTGTCCTCCAGCACCATCTAGTTCCTATGTGGAAAGATGGACATACACATGTACGCATGCACACACACACACACACACACACACACACACGCCATATGCGGACCAGGATCTTGTGATCTGCACCACAAAGTCTGCCACTGAGATACACATTATTCTTCTCATCTTAATAGTGAAAAAACAGGTCTCAGCATCTATTTTAAATCTGAATTTGCTTCTAATGATTTATTCTTTATATTAGAAACTGAATCAGCAGAAAGTCTTCACCTTTTTTGAGAAACAGATTTGCACTAACTCAGTTTGGACTGAACCAGCATCTTCTGAGGTTCTCAGGGTGCAGCCCTCAAAGTGACTTGTTCTCTAGACAAAAGCAGGAAGAGTCCATGAACATGTTGGCTCCTTCAACCTGCAGACTCTGGGCATGGCAGCACCATTCTAAGGGGGTGGAACCCCAGAACAGCACACACAGAAGGGCTTCTTCATGGCCCATTCTCAATTTCCCAGAGTCAGTCTGTCATTGTACAGATCAGAAAACTGAGCCAAGGGACAAAAGTAAGATAATGTCAAGGAAGGAAAACGTTCAAGACCTGTGCCGAGGCAGTAACAGCTCCAAATTTCACAAGGCCATTAGCAAACACAGAGTGGAGGACAGGGTGGGAGATAAAAGTCATAAGTAAATACCAAAACCATAGCCAACAGGTAATTCCAACATATTTTATGAGGCTCCTGCCAAAGATTTTCCCCAGGAGAAAGTCTGTGTCTTCCATGATGCCTTTCACAGTGAGGTCACTGGGGCACAGAATGTCTGCCACAGGACGCAGTAAATACTACCAGCTTTCTCCCTCAGGGTCCCCTGGTGCTACTCACTGTGCACAGCCTCCTGGAGCTGCAGTTCCCGTGTCAGCCGGCTGTGGTCTTCTACCACGCTTCCCAACTCTCCTGCAGTCCTGGACCTGAGTGTCCACAGCCTGCCCAGGATGGGCTCCAGCCCTTCTCGCTCTGAGGTCAAGGTGCGAATCTCCTCCGTGAGGTCCTTGGCTGTGCAGAAATGGCTTCCTACAGCACCATGTGGGAGAGAAGGAAGGACAGGGGCATTGTAGCATCTGCAAACATAAAGAACTAGTGGCAGCTAAGGCACGTCTGCAGTACAGGAAGAAGGACCCTGCTCCACAGTGAGGCACAGCAGTCTTTTGAGGAGCCAGGAAAGCTCTACACTCCTTAAACTGAAACATACTTCCTTTTAAACCACCTTTTTCTTGGTATGTCTGTGTTAGGGTTTCCACTGGCTGATTCACACACTGTGAAAAGGATGACACAAAAATGTCTCTTTGGGACCAGTGAAAGCCACAGGATATCATGGCATTCGATATCCAAATGTCAAAGTGGTGACCTATTACAGCGGGGTTGACCTGCCGTGGAGTCAGACCAGACCTGAATTAAAATCTTAGTCCTCTTGTTTCTCAAACTGCAAGAAGTGGGGCAAGAAAATTAGTACATTCATGACACCTATTTTATAAAATAAGATTGTAATAACGCTTGAATCATAGTAGCTACAAGAATATACAGGAAATTCTATAAAGCACTAAGCAAAATATATGGCATATTGAGTGTAACAGGATACAAGATCAATGTACAAAGATCAATGTATGTCTAAATATTGACAACAAATTATTGGAAGATGATTTTTTTCAGCTTTAATTGAGTTTATTGGTACATTTTAGGGATACAGTACAGTTACATTCATTGTTGGGATCTTGTACCTCTACATGACAAGTCTTGGTTCTCATTTTCTCCCCTTGTCCCTGCCCTCCCTTCACCCCCTCCTCCCCTCCCCATCTACAACCACTTTATTTCCATCTTTTCATTATCTCACATTTTTTTCTTTTCCCTTTTTACCCTTCCCCTGCCCATCACATCTTCCCTACACCTTTTAGCTCCTTTCTTCCCATTTCTCAATGTCAGTCATCTTATTAGGATCTTCTTTATTATTGTAGATTATTCACACCAGAGTGGAAGATGATTTTTAAAAGATAAAGATTTTATAAAAGATATTTATATCTAAAACTACTTAGGAATAAATTTAAAGAAATATGTGCAAGAGCACTACAGTGAAAACTTTTTTAAAAAACTGAAAGTAAAGACTTAAATAGTATGAAAGATAAAATATAAATACACATAATACTCAATGTTACAAAGATTTCCATTTTCCTAGGATTGATTCATTCATTTAATATAGTCCCAATCAAAATTTCATGAGGCTCTTTCATAGAAATTTATCAGCTTATTCAGAAAAAAATGCAAAGGCCTACATAAACCAAAGCAGTCCTTAAATACTTAGTCTCAATTTCAAGACTAAAGTAATAACTACCATAAATCTACATAGGATGATGTCAGCATGCAGAATGACAAATAGATCACTGGAATGGAATGGATAAATCCAAAAGTCACATACTCATTCAGTCCATTTTTTTCAATAGTGCAAAGCAAATGAATGAGAAAAAGAGTATTTTCAACAAATAATGCTAAAACTATATAAGGAGAACATCAACTTTGGGCTATATCTCAAACCATACACAAAATACCATTAGAAATGGATCATAGGTTTTAGAAAAGTTAAAACTACAACATTTTAAGAAGGAAAATAGGAGAATATCTTACTGATTTTGAAGTAGGAAAAAACATTTCATAGATACAAAAAACACTAACAAAAGAAAAGAATTGATAGATGGGCCTCCATAAAAATTTCAGACTTCTGTTCATGAAAAGGCACCACTCTGAAAATGAGTGTTCAAGTCACAAACTTGGAGAAAATATTTGCTAAACATATGTCTGACAAAGGACTTTAACCCCTTAGCTCAACAATTAAAACACAAATAATCATTGAAAATTGGGCCAATAAAGGACTTAACAGGCATTTTTACAAAGTTAGAGACACATAAAGCTGATAAGCATAGGGGAAAGTCTTTGACATCATCAGTCATCAGCAAAATGCAAATTAAAACCATGGAGATTCTACTACAAATTCATTCAAACAGCTCCAAGGAGCTAAACAGAAAATGCCAACACTGGGGGACCCAGTACCGCCAGAACTCTCACATGCAAAACAATACAACCCCTCAGAGAATGCTCAGAGAAATCTGTGGGTTTCTCATGAAATTAAAACTATGTCCCCCTGTGACCCAACAACCATACTTACAGGTATTTACATGACAGAAAGGAAAACATGTAATCAAAAAGTCACATACTTGAAAGATCACAGTAGCTTACCGGTGAAACCCTAAACCTGGATGCAACCTAATATCTGTCCACAGGAAAACATAAAAATGGTGGTGTTTTCTCACAACTTGAGACCGCTCAGCATTAAAAGGCAACAAGCAATTCCTTCATGCAGCAACACAGAAAGAAAAAGAACAGATGCAAAAACCATATGCCGCCAAAGTCCACAAAACAGGCAAAACGGATCCATGGCAGAAGATTCCAGAACAGTCACCTGGAAAGGATACCTGGCAGGTGATGTTTCTGGGGCGACAAAAACAGTCCTTGTCTTGGTAGGGCTGTTAGTAAAACACGGTGGTGCACGCCTGTAATCCCAGCACTTGGGAGGCTGAGGCAGGAGGATGGTTGAGAGCCTGAGGCCAGCCTCCGCTACATAGCAAGTTTCAGACCAGCCTGAACTACACAGTGAGACTGTTTCAAAAAAAAAACAAAACAAAAAAACAGGTGTCATAGTTCACTGAACAATGCTCGTAAGACTTGTCCATTTCACTGAATGCAAATCATACCTCATTAAAAAGGAAAAAATGGGAAATTTAAAACATGAAAATTAAACAAAAAATTAAAAATAACAATTACCATTACTGGAAAACTCCACTGCATTTGCTAAGAGTTTACTGTAACCATAACGACAAAACAGATAGAAGCCTCGGAGGTAGGTTATTCCTCACACTGCCAACTCTAAGATGTATCTTTTCTTTTAACAGTTTAGCGTCTCTGAAATAACATGTGTCTTAGAGCCACTAGCCTGGAGGCAGTCAGCCCTAGAATTTCAACACACAAATCACTTCAGGACCACTTCTTGCTGTTGACCGAAAATCTTTTGTGGGTGTTTGTAAGATCAGTATAGCACCCACATTCAAAACTTAATGAATGGGCCAAGCATGGTGGCACATACCTATAATCCCAACACTCTGGGAAGCTGAGGCAGGAGGATCACAAGTGCAAGCCCAGCGTGGGCAATTTAGTGACTTAGCAAGACCCTGTCTCAAAATAAAAAAAATAAAATAAAAGGGGCTAGGGTTGTAGCTCAGTGCAAATTCCTGGGCTCAATAAAATAAATCCATGCTCACATTCATATACACACACACACACACACACACACACACACACACACACACACACTACATACATACACACACAAAACAACCTTGAAGAATGGTATTAGCACCTTGGCAGAGAGACTCACAGAAATCATTATTACTGGGAGGAGGGGTTGCACCCTCAACAGTTCCAAGGATACAGAGGATGGTAGTATATGGGAAAAATCAACCCTAAAAATTTTGAACCCACAAGTATCTCAAAAAGCCTTTGAATATTAAGACGAAGATGCCTTAGAAAAACTTTATACATCTAAAAGTTATTTCAGTATGCATAAAATGAAAATTCTTAGCCACAAAAAGCACTGTATCACTGTTTAATTGACAGCAATTTTTCTTTCTTTGTAGTGTATAAAATACTGGTGCCTTTTCTGTTCACAGAAATACACATGGTTTTCTCTACTTTGCAGCTGAAAAAACTGAAATCTGGAGAATTCAATATCTTGCTGAAGGTTACAGAGCTATAAACAACAGGGCAAGTTTCTACCTCAAACATGACTCCAGAATCCTCCTCCCCTCTTAAATACTAAACTCTGCTGCTTACTTCTTTATTACTGTTTGATGAGAAGATTTCAAACTGATACAAATGTTGAAAATGTTAAGAATGTTTTCCCACCTTAAGGGCATTCTGAAAACCCAACATGTTATTCTGCCACTGACGTCTATGGTTTCTGATGGTGTGGTGGAAGAATCATCTTTTGAAACTCTGTCTGTCATTGCATTTGGCTACCCAGCAAATAGTATAAAGAATAAGGCTCTGCCTTATAAATAAAGGGGACAAGATGCATCACGAAGAACAGGCAAAGGTATACTGGGAGAGTCAGAGAAAAGACTGTGCTCCAGAGGGGAGACTGAGGCAGGTTTCACGAGGACAGAATGTAAGACTTCCAGAAGCAGAAGCAGAAGCAGGAACCCTACGTAAAAAGCAAAAGGTAGGTGGCAGAAGGCAGGTGACTAACTGACAAAGAAGCTAGACCAAGTGTAGTACCCCAAACGCTGGTGGGTTTAGACCAGTTTGGAAAACACACTCCTAGTAATGCAACAGGATAGCAGGCTAAACTTCTGCACGCTTTCAAGTCCTAAACAGAAGCACACCAAGCCTCGCTCACACAGAGCTGCCGGTCCTGGACAGTGACTAGTCGGCACAGCGGGTGGAAGCCCCTCACCCTGGGAAGCCACAGAGAACCCAGGGCGAGCTCAGGTTCTTGAGGAGCTGGCAAGAGGACCTGCCCAGAGGCATGGTACAAGGGGCAGGGCAGCCACATCCAGGCTGGCAACATCACACTCTCCTACCAGGCTGGGCTGAGGGAACCCTGACCTCTCTGCTGGGCCACTTTGGACAGTGGGGTGGGCACCAACTCTGCCCTCAAAGACACCCAAGCCAGATCCACTGTGCTGCTTCCTCTTACAAACCATTCAGAGAAAAGAGACTCAGAAGAGCTGGGAAGAGTGACATACGTGGTATGAATGTCCATGTGAAAGCTTTGCTGGCAATGCGACCTCTGAGCCCCGCTACCCAGCGTCGCTCTAGAGGCCAGAGTCCTTACAAAACACCAGAGAGACAGTTCATTAAAACATGGCCCTTCCCTGATCCTGAGGCCTAAGGATAGGGGACATGCATGATGATAGAAGTGAACATTTCATTTTTGCAGAATGAGTGAATTTCCAAAGAGACAGGGATTA